TTTTTTTATGTCATCTGGACTCTCTCCTGTTTCTTCATTGACTCCAATCAGTCTTATGTTATTCTTGTTTGTGTTGTCTAGCAGGTGCTGGATTGATTTATCATGTTCCTTATAATTTTAAAGCAATTTTTCTTTTCCTGCTCATTAATTGCAATCTTACCTTCTATATCTGAAATTCTGTCCTCACATTGGCTCATTCTCTGTGTAGACTTTCAATGGAGTTTTTAATCTCCTGGATATCTGTTTGCATCTGTTTTATGGATTCCATTTTTTTCTTATGTTGGAATTCCATCATGTTCCTCAGATGCTCTCTACATTTATTAATCATGTCTTGCACTATGAGCAGAATCTCTGCTTTTATGTGAGAAATTATTTCTGATTTCATTTTTTCCAGATCCTTTTACATTGCCTGTTTAGGGAGTCCAGGTGGTTAAGCATCAGATTGTCCCATCTCATTTCCCTTTGAGGTTGCTGTTAGTGATCTGAAACTCTGGTTTTGAGACTTGTTTACATGTGTTCTCATTTAGACAGAGGTGGGGTATGTGGGGGTTGCTGTTGGTGCCCACGTGGCTCACCTCCTCTGTGCTGAGAGTGATGGTACAGTGGCCCAGAAGCTGCTTCCTGTGCTCTGGAAGCCATGGAATGGCCACCTGGAAGGCCCTACCTCTGCACTCAGAGCTGGGGAATGGCAGCCAAGAGGCCCTTAACTCTGCTCTGGTTGCGGTGGTACACTGTCCTTTTTTTTTGTTATTGTTTTATTTTGTATTTTTGTTCTCTTTTTGGTTCTGTTTCATTTTGTGTGTGTGAGTGTATGTGTGAGTGTGTGTGGTTGTTTGGGATATTTATCTTAATTTTTGTTCTGTTCTATTTGTCCTCTTTCTCTCTTTCCCTAACCATCTGTCTTGATGCTATGATATTTTAATTTGAGTTAACAATGTCTCTTGTCTCTCTGGTTCACTTCAATATTCTTTTGCTTTCTCCTCCACTGTCTCTCTCCTGCCCCTTTCTCCAGGCTCCCAAAGCCTGGTTATTCATCCTGCACCCTCCAGCCTTCCTTCTAGTATAGTTCTTTTCATTTATCTCTCTGTATTGTCCCCTATCTTTCTTAAATTCCTCCCCACAAGGCATAACTGCTCTACTATGTAAAAAACTCATTGTATACAAGTGCCTGGTTTTCGCTGGATTTTATTATAAAAAGGTAGAGCTTGCTTGTATGGTTAAACATACCAAAGTAACAGATAACAGTTCATCAGTTTCTAGGCTGTCCTGCATTTTATTCTTAATGCTAACTGTTTTACTTTAGAAAGGATGTCATACCTGTTGTAACCAGTAGTTCTCCCTTATATGACAACATTTCAATTGCTTAGGGTCAAAACCACCACCAGAGTATAGTACCAAAGGACTGGGTGCTGAGCTAAATACATAGCAAGCTCACATCCTTAACAAATTGAGAAGGTAGAATATTGGGATAGACACAAATACCAAGACCCTTTACACCACTCTGAGAAGATATCTCTGAAAAATAGATATTTCCTAAAGAAACCTCAATATAAGTGATAAAGTTATTTACCATATGAAACCTACAAGAAACAGCTCAAAAAATAGAATAAAATAAAAAGATAGAAAATGACACACACTGAAGTAAAATGCAACTCAAGGTAGCCAGCCCACCAAGAACAATTCAGGGGAGAACTGGATAGAGGAAATCAGAAAACACTCAGTAGATCTTTCTGAATTGATAACTACAGATGTGAAAAAAAATAAACGAGGCTATAGAGAAAATAATCTTCAGGGAAAAATAAAGAAATGGCAATTAAAATGAA